CATATGAGTTGCGTAGGAAATGCTGCATCACCTCTACATGCCCAGAGATTCTCGATTCGCTGGAGTTGGGTTGGATTCCTGTATGAGAAGGTTTGTTGTGGTACATAGATTACAGAATCACAGAATCGCTCGGTTGGAAAAGACCTCTGAGATCATCACGTCCAACCGTTCCTGTCTACCCACTAAACCATATCCTTAAGTACCTCGTCTACCCGCTCCTTAAACACATCCAGGGATGGTGACTCCACCACCTCCCTGGGCAGCCTGGTCCAGCTTCTGACGACCCTCTCAGTACAGAACTTCCTCCTTATCTCTGACCTGAACCTCCCTTGGCACAGCTTGGTGCCGTTTCCCCTTGTTCTATCCCCCATCACCTGGGAGAAGAGCCCAGCACCCACCTCTCCACAACCTCCCTTGAGGCAGTTGTAGGTGGTGATGAGGTCTCCCCTCAGCCTTCTCTTCTCCAGGCTCAACAAGCCCCGTTCCCTCAGCCGCTCCTCATAAGGCCATAGGTGTAGACTTACAGCCTAACCAACCTGGAAGTCACACTGCGAATTTCAGCGGGACCTTCCCAGACCTTCACATGAAGGGACTTGGGTCTAGGATGGATATGAGCCATGTAAATAAATAATGGGTTTGCATGAACGTCAACATCCTACTCTTACAGCTCTGTGTTCTTCTTTTCTTGCCATTTAGCTGATGCGTGAGGCTCGGCAGCGGCTGAAGTGCGGTATGGTTGCCATCCTGGAGCGTTACAGAATTGGCACTTTGGTAAGTCTGTGTTCATGAGTGCTTTTTGAGTTCAGTCCATGTTGGTTGTGGTAAACTTGGGCTCCTGCCGTGCCACAGATAAGGACCTGTTCCTTGCTGACGCCTTTTGGGCTTTTTATCTCTGAGTTTTTATTCCTACTCACCCCCCCCACACCTCCTTTTCTATTGGTTTGAGGTTACTGGAACATTTTAATAGAAGAAATATTAATGTGTTTGTGCTTAATGCAGTCTAGTGCACAATGCCTGCTAATTACCGCAACTTCCGAAAAAACGTGCCGTGCCTCATCCTTCTTCTGGAAGCTGTTTTCATCGGCCTTATATTTTTTTTCTCCGACGATGGTGCATCCAGATCAGACCTCTCCTACCCAGGTAAGCTTGGCAGCCTTGCTGTGAAAGGAAGGGTTAATGCCTGCTTTTATTTTGCAGTGCAATAGAGATGGGATTCACAGGTTTGTGTATTTGTTAGTGAGAAGTAGAGTGTTTTTACTGCCCTCTGAGTACCCCACCTTGCCATGTATGCTGCATATTTATTTATTTATATCAAAGCAAAGACAGCGGAGGAAGAGGTCAGTGATACTGAGTTGTGGTTTGTGGTAATCTTGACTCCTATGAACATAACAAACTTCTGAGGGCTGGCACCGCTCTGTGTTAAGTGCCCAACTCTGTGAGGTCTTCGTTGTTGTGCTAAAAAGTAAGAATTCAGGACGGCACTATTTTCCATTTGAATGCTTGATGTAAAGAATTGAAGTTAATACACTGGAATTAAGGGTTTAGATGTGTTCTGGAGTTGTGTTGTGTGCAGTGATCAAAGGAATTAGCAGATTATGCTACGGGCATGGTGTGTAACGTATTTACAGTGTTGTGTAAAGAGGAGCTGATATATCCTCAGGATATTCTTGTGTTACTTTCCCTGTTTTATAGCTCAAAAAATGAGACCTACTTTTTGCTATTCTGCTGTATGTAGAGGCCAGCACAACCATGCGAGGACAAGACTGTTACCATGTCCCAGGGCTGATTCTAGGCATACAAATCCAAGGACAGCCTCTGCCTTTTATGCAGTGGTGCTGGTAACCATGTTAAATTCCTGCTGCTATTTCTGCTCCTGTTTCCTCTACCCTGATGAGGACATCAAAGGTTTCTCTTTGTAACTCATTTCTTCCCTAATGCCCTCAAGGAATGAATCAACACTAATTTGCAGTAGCTCTTCCCAAAACGTCCAACTTCAGCTCTTTAAATTCACCACAGGGAAAATGAGTGTCCAGATTTCATTGCTAAACATACTTCATCTCTGTTCTGCTTTTTGACCCCTCAGCCCCCATTCTATGGCATCCATTCTGACCACTTTGTAGAATTAAATTCAGGGTCGAGGGTGTTGTTTTTCTGACTACTTATGGATTAGAAAGCAAACTCTGGAGTTCTTTACAGGTACTAAATAATAATGGCACCTGAATTTTGATCTGAAACCTTCTTAGTTAATTGTGATTTTTCAAAAAGTTATTTTTTAAACCAGAAATTCAATCTGCATTAATAACTTCACGGTGGCCTTGGTCTTTTCTGTCGTGCAGCTTTTCAAGATGTCAACCACATGGTCATTTTTGGATTTGGCTTCTTCCTGACCTTCCTGAAAAGATACGGGTTTAGCAGCATTGGATTCAACCTCCTGATCGTTGGACTTGGTGTCCAATGCTCCGTGCTGATTGAAGGTTTAGAAGCTTTACTTCTTCAAAGGGCAAAGGAAGATGGTCTGAAAAGGTAATTAGTTTGTGTTAGAATTGGAATAATCTCCAACTGCTGCTTGCTCTTTGTGGAGGATAATGCCTTGTACATGGACCTATATGTGAATTAGCACAGTCATATTTGCAGACATTTTAGAAGGCTTTGGGTTTTAAAGGACATTTTACTGTCTGTCATTCTTTGTTTGCTGGCCCTGGTGTCCTGATACAGAGTAATGTTTTTCTTTCTTATATTGCAGAATAACAAGGGCTGCTGTGAGCATGACTGCTGTGGTCATCTCCACTGGAGCTGTTCTTGGGAAGACTAATTCTATGCAATTAATTCTGATGACAGTTGTGGAGATAATAGTTTTCTGCCTGAGCAGAAGTCTCAACACCACATTCCTGCAGGTACCGTAGGATGATTTCCAGGCATGTTGGGGAAAATTTCACTGTGACTGTGGCACGTTGCCTTTGGATGGTTTGTTAGTGCTCTGCTGACAGGAACATCGGTGTGTTTGCTCGAGTTTCAGTTAGATTGTGGCTGTGTTTTCATTGAGATGAAGTCTGACTTTGAGACTATACTTAAGGACATCAGACTCCAAATTCTGCATACTCTAGATCTGTACAATTGGCTATATCTGTATTCTTGGACTTAAAGAGTGAACTGATCTGATGGGTTGGGGTTTAGTGCATTTGGCCTTGCCCGTGCCCTGACCATCCCCAACATCAGAATGAAAGCCTTGACCTATGCTAAGGCACTAATTGTCTTTAAGCTTTACCCCTTCCCTGTGTCAGTTCAGTCTGTAAGACTTCCAATGTGGATGGTCTACCAGCAGAGTCAGACCTGCATTTAATGTACAATGTAAATATACCCCAAACTCTCTGTATATGAATTGTGATTAAGCTCAGATTCATGACATACATAAACTGAGGGACTGTGAAAATAAACTGTTTATAGGGTGGCTACATGAGCAGCTGTATCAGGAACTGCACCCAAGGCTTCCTGTGGGATGAAGTAAACCACAAATTTGATTGTTCTGTTGATACAGATTGCAGACGATGTCAGCATGATGCATGTGCACCTGTTTGGAGCCTACTTTGGTCTGGCAGTCGCCTCGCGCTTCTCTGAGCCATCACCGAAGTCTGAGAAGAACACGAGTACCGTGAAGTCGGATTTATGGTCAATGCTGGGTAAGGCGTTTGCTTTAACGTCTCAGCTGGAAGAAGAGTTTGCAGTGAGAACATAAGCAGTTTTTGTAGGGGCTGGCTAGGGCACACTGACCCTTTGGCATCCAAAGTGCAGGTCTGAATGCAGCCAAGCACAGAAACCTGCTGCTGCAGCCGTGGTTTGTGGTTTCTGACAATGAGTTGGTGACTCTCAGCACGTTTCCTACCAGGATGTAAGCTGCTCCTGCAACGGCTGGGGCTTGCTTTGCCTTTGTCAGTCTCAGCATAAGGACTATGCCAGGTTAACCATTCCCTCTCCCAGCCAAGTCGTCCCCTTTGGGCTTGCATAGGCGTGTTGGTAAGGGACCTGCGCACCAAAATTGAGGCCGTCACTTGTATTTCAGTAGTGCTTGCAGTTCCCAGCTGGGGCCAAGGCTTAGTTTTGTTTTGCAAGGTGCTGTACAGAGATATAAAAAGGCAGTCCCTGCCTAGTAATGTAAGTGAAGAGATAAAACCCTGATGAAGGGTGGGGAATATGACACAGGGACATGAGAAGGGATCTGAGTGATGATGGGCTGAATGTATGGGAGTTCCATTCTTGTTCTTAAGCAATTTGGTTTCTTTCTTATTACAACGTCTGTTATTAACTGCCACCAGCTGAACTAAGATCTCTCTGTGAAGGCCCAGTCTTAATTCTTGGTCAGTCTTAGCCCAGTTTAAAGAAAGAGAAATTTGAATGTTGCTCTTTTGAGTCCCTGGAGTTCTTGCTTTGCTGGAGAATTTGTGGAGATCAGTTTTTTAATCTAACTCATGGAGACACTGTTATGCCTTCATTATAATTTATGTGCAGGTTGCTACAACCAAGCACTTGCTATTGGGAGTAATTATCCTGCCATGTCTTGAATAATTCCTGAGGTAGCGTGAGCAGAAAGGAGCAACTGAGTAGGCAAATTCCTCATGGTTCTTTTTTGTATCCTGCTTCTGAGGGCTGAGACTCTTTGAAAATACTGAGTTTAAGTTTGGGACAAAATGACAAATGTTTTTCACCGAACACATCAGTTGCTGTAGTGAACCTCACAAACTTTTCAGAGTGAACTCAGAGCACTGTCTGGAAACAACCTGCATCCAGCATCTGGCAAGGAGGTTTGCAATGCCAAGATGAGGGCTGTAGAATTACCAACAAATTGAGAGTACTGCTTAAAAAAAACCCTCAAACAAAACAGAAGAAATGTGTGCGACCTGTCTGGATAGACTGCAAGCACTCAACTTGTGAAGAAGCCAGTTTCTCAAGGGATATCCTTGATAGAAACAGCACTCCACTTGCAGAAAAACATTAGCTAGGAACATGACCTGGCCAGATAATACCATTTTGCTGGAAGCCTGTCAGTTTTTCAGATCAAATCGAGGTTAATGGGCCAAATATCCTGTCAGAGAGCCATGGTTATCACCTTCTTGATGCACTGAAGAGGTGAAAATTAGCAATGGAAATTGGATTTCAAGGAGCCAAGATAAGCTTGCACAAAAGCAGTAGCTGCCAGAGTTGTTAGAAGCTGGATTTAACCATTGTGCTTTATAGTGACAATGCCTGTTGACTGAACAGCCAAAAATAATGACTGGACAAGGCAAAATAAGCTGCTGCTTGTTTGTGTTGTCATCTGTGCACTTCCAGCTACGTGCAATTCAGGGAGCAAAGGCACAGGCTGTGATGTGTGGTCCAACTTACGAGTGTGAGGCCGCCTGCTTCCCTCTACTGGTTGGAATTTGGTCTGTGCCTCTGTATCCATACACACAGCCGTGAAGGTGTGATGGTGTGCAGTGATCTTACAGGGGAAAAGCAAAGAGAGGACAAAGCTGATGTTAAAGGTGTTCTTGGAAAGGTTATAAATGTCCTGCCTTCAGCTGTGTGAAGGACCAGCCAGGTGCTGGTAGAGGTGCATTTCAGCTGTGTGTTTGACAGTGCAGTGCTGTTTCTGGGAAGGTGCTGATGTAGCAGGTAACTCTCAGGGCTGGAGCCCCCCAGAGCCAGCTGGTGGTGGATTCACGGGGTTTTAGAGCAGGTAATGGTAGTTGTTTGTCTTTGTCTCAAAGGCACTCTCTTCCTCTGGGTGTTCTGGCCAAGCTTCAATTCTATACTCGTGGAGAACAGGAGGAAAGCCATCTACAACACCTACTTCGCCCTTGCAGCGAGTGCTGTAACTGCCTTCATGCTGTCTGTTCTGACCACAAAGGATGGGAAATTCAGAATGGTAAGACATGAGAGAACATCACTGCACGGAGAAGATATTTTTTCTGTTACTTTCAGTAGCACACTGAAAATATAGTAACTGTTAAGTAAAAACAAGTCCATGTTTTCAGCCTGATAGTCATTAGCCTCCCAAGCTGAAGCTGTAACTTGGAAATTATGTGCTCAGATTGTAATTTACAGTATACAGAGGCCCAAATTCAGCCTAAAGAGATCACATTTGTATGAGAATAGCTGGCTATGATACAAGAGCAGTGATGACTGAATTCTCACTCTGTTTTTGTTGTTTTATTTTACAGACTCATATCCACAGTGCAGTACTAGCTGGTGGGGTCACTGTTGGTTATGCAGCACAGAGCATCGACTATCCTTGGATTGCAATGATTTTGGGTCTGCTTGCCAGTGTGATAACCATATTAGGATCTTACTGTTTACAGGTAGTACTTGAAACCTGAAATTGTTTTTGTATAAGCTGTATAAACTTATTTTCTAATGTAGGATACCTCAAGGGAAACCTCTCTTTCAAAACAATTAAAGCCAGGAAACCTGAAGTCTTTCGAGCAGAGCACAGGATTGCAACTTGCAAGACAAAGTTCATTTTCTAGGTCTACGATAAGCAATGTGCTGTGATCACCTTGTGTTTCTGTGTATCAGTTAAACCTTTTCTTCTTCCCAGAGGTGCTTGAATCCTGCTCTCAAGATTCATGATTCCTCTGGAGTTCATTTCACTTTTGGCTTGCCTGCTGTGCTTGGAGCTCTTGCCCAGATCATTCTGTTAATAATAAAAAACTGGACTGATTTATCAAGGTACTTCAATTCTTGCTATTAAGTAATAAGCTCATGTTGTGTAATACAAGAAGTTCTCTGATTTTCTCAGCTTATGCAGTAACAAATCACAGTGCAGCATAACAGCCTTACACTTCTTGACGTATTCTTTTTGAAACAAAAAAAAGTAATGATGATTTAGTACCACAGTGGTGGTTTCTAAGGGCAAAATACATCCTCTGAAGTCTGTATTAGACTTCTGATAGGATCTCTTAAAACATCTGGCTGCAGCTGCAGAGAGATCCAGGTTCATTCACAGGCTTAATGCTAAATTCAGCCATTGTAAAATGTGAAACACTTGTTTTGCTTTTCAGTCTGGGTTATTTGGTCATGACTAACGTTGGTGCCTTCTGCCTGACCGTCAGTGTTGCTGTGACAACAGGTTTTTTTACAGGTCAGTATTGAAAATCGTGATTCAGTAAAACTGTTCTCATTTCCCTGGGGCAAGGGCAGTGTCACCTTATTGCACCCTAAAGAAGAGATATATCCAATACTCTGTGGAATATACTCGTTACACTTACCTTAAGTGTAATGAACAAGTTGAGCTAATCAAGCAGATTTTTAAAAAGCATTCAGCTAAAACAAACATTCAGTGTTTAACCAGCTGTTTAAAAATCTAGCTGTTTCCATCTGAAATCCCAAGCTGACAGTGCTGATAAGCCCGATTGCTTTAAATACACAGACATTTTTCATGCATGATTTTTGATGTATTTTTAGAATCCGGCAGGCTGTTTAATGGGGTTTTACCTGAAGTAATTAATTTTTAATAACACAAGCCTTGATCCTGGCAAGCTTCTCTCTTTGTATTTAAGGTCAACTTGAGTCAAGGGGCTCTGCTGAAGCATTTAGTTCTGATTTTGTATTTTGGTCGGTGTTACATTTGCATGCATGGTACTAAGAAACCTCCAGTTACACACAGCACTCCCCTTGTCCTGATGTATGTATTTATATTGGATATATGTGTTTTTACAAATAGGTTCCATCTTAAACCTCAAAGTGTTCAAGACCACCCCTGTATCAAAGTACTTCGATGACCAGTTTTATTGCGAGGTAAGTTCCAGTGTAAAATTAACTCTGTATATATAGCACCTTGTTGTCCTTGCTGAAGAACTCTTGGTATTTGAATTAAAAAAAAAAGGCAGGGGGGTGGATAAATCCATTGCACAGTACATTTTGGGTGCCCTGTGTGAAGTGGATGAACTGTTCCCACAGTTGATTCAGAGCCTGAATATTATGTGTGCAGTCCTCAGAGCCGCTGGTGGGCACAGGGCTAAATCTGAACTGATTTGTTTGTTGTAAGGTGTAATCTGAGGAGCTCTGACCTCCTCTGGGAAGAGAGGGGGTTTTTAGAAGCCAGCGAGTGCCATGGAAGGTGCTTTTTATGAAAACAGCCTGAGCCTCCTGGCCTTCATGGGTGCAGAGTGGCCATTCAGTCTGGTGTGCAAACACAGGCCTTGGGCACCTTTAGGTGCTGAATGTGATGCTGTATCTGAGTTACAGAAAAGAAGTAGTAGATGAAAATAAGCTTCTAATAAGGTTTTTCCCTTGCCTTTTTTTATCATGATTTGATGTATAAAATGTTCTGACACAAGAATGTTTGTCTTTGCAGTTTCCCCATTTGGCTGTTGGATTTTGAGTGGAGGAACCCAGATGACAGATTTGACCAAGATAAGATTTTGTCACTAGAGAAAATGAGTAAAAGTGATGGGTTGAAAGAGCACTTAAGAATCAATTCTCAGGCTCAGAAATGCCATCCCAATGGACACGCAAAAAAATTAGTAATAAACTGTTTGTTACTCTTCAAAGATACTGGGTGTAAATTTACAGATGCAAACTTAAAATTCACTTTTCTGTTTTGTTGGTCTTACCTTAAATATTTTTTTGGTAGGGTATGTACAAAAAAGCTGGCTGCATTCGTTGCTAATGGGCTATCAATCAAAATGCTTGGAAACTTTTAAGCTCCCAAGTTTGAAAGCCAAAATATGTATTTTAAAGTATAATTTTTCAAGGAGTACATACTCATTCTTATTTAGCGAAGCGTTAAAGTACTGGTGTTTAAGCTAAATTAATTCTGTTAAAGGCCTTGTTAAGCAAGGATTTGATGAGTGAGCTGGATCAGGGCCAGAACTCTGCATCTTGCCAGGCTGAACTCTGATGTATCTGACTGCTTAAAGAAAAACCTATAATTACTTGGCTTGGCCTAGCTTTTTGGGAGTTCAGATGGCAAGAAGTGAAATTGTTCTGCTTGTGGATGATGCCCCTGGAATCAGTGGTATTTACTCATGTTTAAGATTGGGCAGCAAACCTCAGAACAGCATCACCCTGCAGTCGGCTGACCAGGAGATATTCATTAGGGTGGGGACAACGGGAGAGGCAGTGGGGATGGTCCTTGGTAAGGACTATTGGTCCCAGGCCCCCATTTCTGAAGTGTCTTATGTTTTACTCCAAGAGAAGCAGAGGCCTTGGTGCAGGAGCTGGGGTCTGATCAGGCAGAGGATTCTGTGCAAACAAACCCTTGTTTTTCAATGGATTGTGATTCTTTGTTTCAAAATAGGTGACAGAGAAAAACTCTTTAAAAAATGCTTACATAATAAAAAAGTCCAAATTTGATTTGTTTTTTTGTTCAGCACACTTGCTTAAAAATGAAGTAATGAGGAAAAATGTGACAGTGAAGATGAAGCACGAGTTCTTTGATGCTCACTCCAGCAAAGCGTGCTGACCTCAATTCATTCATTAGGGATTAAAAGCAAAGTCGAGTGCTACACTTCAAGAAGCGTGAGGAAGGTTTCAAGTAATGAAAAATTACTTGTGGAGGAAGGGCCAGGTTTTCTTTTTTCCAGGTCACAAAACAGCCAGTGATCTGCTGAGTTTATCACTCAGCCTTGATGCACATGCACACATTTGCACTACCTCACTGGTACCTGTGTAAGGGTGTAATCCAGGCTCAGCTCGTGTGTTCACTTCCCTTTCTTTGACTGTGATTACAAAACAGTTCACAGCAAGCTTTGTGGGTGAGCTGCTTCCATCTAGGGCCTCTACGCTGTCATCCACAGCAACTGTTACTCTATCACTGTAGGATAAATTAAATATTCAGGGACGAGGGGAAAAAAAGATCCCAAAGCAGCAGTTCTGTATTATGCAAGAACAGTCACACTCAGTAAGTTTTGAAATTGAAGAAATGGTTATATTGTCCAGATACAGGAAATATTTAATAAATACACGTTAAAAAGTTGTTTTAAAGCAGTTTTAGTAAGTTTTGGATTGTAAATCACATCATAGAAACAGCTGGTTAAATACATCCACTTCCCACTATACTATTAATCTGTAGCAAACATGGTATCATAAAAGTGACTTCCATTGTTACTTGTAGCAATTTTAATTTGTCAAAAACATGACAACATTTAAGTCAACATACAAGAGTAAAAAAAAAATTAAATGGAATAGAACCAGAATTTTTAGTGCTATGATTTAAGTTTTCCTTGTTTTCTCTTTAGACACAATTGAAGGTCACTGTTTACAAAATGGTTCTACAAAACTTGGTGAGTGTGCAGTTAAAAACCCAGCACAGCCAATGCACTTCCACAGGCGTGTTCATTGCCACAAATCTTCCGTGCGACCAAATTTGAAGACCAGTCCTCTGTTCAAAACAGAAAAAAGGGCCATGAGTACATAGCAGAGCAAATCTAGGATTTTAAATGCGTGATTTCAGGGAACAAGTTTTAGTGTTTGTAAATGCAGTTTCTGGTCCTGCAACAAAACCTATGCAGGCAGAGCCCAGAGATCTGCTGCCTTTACCAGCAGTTACTGACCCGTGTCTAGTTACAAAACAGGGCTTAAGGCACAGCAGGTTACAGCAAGTTTCAGGTTTTATCATTAAAAACAAATCTGATGATAAAAAAAAACAAAGGAAGATGGTCTTACCCAAAAAAGATGAACGCATTCTGGAAAAACACAGCTATTCCTGGGTATACTATTGTTTTTTCTACAAAAAGAAAGAATTGCCCTAAGTTTTTGAGAAGGAATTTTGAAGAATATCTCTGACATTTCAGAAACACTAAATATACTATTTACAATGGCAGCATACAAAGTGGGAGTGCACATTAGTAGCACTAACACGTGTGCCTACGTGTCCTTGAAAAAAACCCCTGTGAATTGAGCAGGGCTAAAGCTGAGAAAGTAAAGTTAAAAAAAACCCCAAACACCAGTGTGCCCTGACTGGTGTGAATTTCACTTCAGCCCCAGGTACAAACAGTAGCTTCACATTTACTTAAATGATGTAACGTCCTTTTGAAGAACAGAGAGAAATACACTGCGGTTTTCATGTCTTTCTCAAGGCCTGTCCTCACAAAAAGTTACCGCAGTATATGTTAGGAATTTAAATAGGCGATCTGAACTAGTATTTTCCCTTTTACTAACGTAGCATAGAGGCTTTAGAAACATTTTGCACAAAAATCAGTCATTTTTATTCTGGGAATAAGTGTTCACCCAGGGAATTATTCCCACATACTGCAGCAGTTTAATTATATCAGAGTAGTTCCCAGGTGAGCAGTGTTTCCAGTGAGGGTAGTTGGAAGTTTGACTTAGAAGGAGATGAAATCCACTCCAATAACAGTAGATAATATGGAACCAAAATACTAAAACTGGGCCTGCCTAGAAACTATCTTAAAATAAGTTCTAAAGTTCAATAGTTGCTTAAAGTTCTTGAAACTTCCAAAGATGTTCAGTCAGCTCATATTTTATTGTTGTATCTTACCTTTAACAACATAGCCTCCAAAAAGGATCCACATGGAAGCAATCAGAGACCCAAAAGCCATCATAAAACCGATGAACAGCCAGATCCGAGCACCTGGAAAAAGATGCAGGGATGTTTTGTGCCTGTGCTCAAGTACAGACACTCGTGACACATTCAGCACGTTTTGTTTCAGAGGACCTTGTCACACATCAGAGCCGCACAGATCTGTCGCTGTGCAATGGCCTGTGCCACCGTACCTGTCTGTCCCAGGCAGCCCTCGCTGTAACTGTCACCCCGCACTTGTCCGTTAGACACCGCGTTGATCCTGTGCCAGCAAAACAGGATAAAATCAGGTCAATATAGGTAAAGCAAGTAGTAAATGTTGACAAAAACAATAGAAGAAACTTCTCAGAAACCTGCATAAAAAAGATGATTCTGTATTTCTTGTTTGTTTTTTTAAAGGACAGGACTAAAACTAAAAAAGCATTTCTCCAAACACTTGTAAGACTTGGACCTGTATAACACACCTAATTTAAAGAAAAAAACCTTCCTTACTATAAATAGCAACTAACATAGAACAGATATTAGACATACTCAGATAGTAACTTGATTTTTTAGTCTTAGTTACCTCTTCACATAAAGATTGTGTTCTTTTAATTGCACAAAATAAGTTCTAAGAGTGTGCAGCTCAAATCAAGAAATTACACTTACATGAGGAATGCAATAGTGGCTATAACCCCACAAGCATGGTATGAATGGTTGAAATCTTCCATTTTCGGGTATTTTACAGCTGCATCTATGATTATCCACCAACCTGTAAAAAACTATTACAAAAGAAGAAACAGCACGATAGCTTAAAATACGGACACGAGCCTTTTAACGATATATAAAGTTGCTCTAGAAAAAATAACATTAGTATATAAAATAATTCTTTAAAAATCTACCCCAGAGTTAACTGATAGCATAACTAGTCTTGCTATAAACTTAGGAACAAGGTTAAGTACAAAGCCAGAGATTAACCTACTCCAATACACGGAGATTTTTTATTACATGGAGTTTTTTAATTACTTGGGTAAAAGCTGCAAAACTTAAGTAACACATGGATGCAAGCACCCAGTATAGATTTTTTTGATTTTTGTATCCCTGTTCTTCCTTTTAAGAGTTTTTAGCTCATTGGCAGCTGACTACATCTTAAGAAGCCTGAAAGCAGCATAAGAGAAGCTGTACGTACCAGCACGCCCGCAGCAACGGAAGCAATCGTGTTTCGTTTCTCTCCCCAGTCAACACACTCCGAGCACCTCAAGCTCTCAAGAAAACCCGACATTTTTCAGCGCTCTGAAGAACTGGAAAAGAAAAATGGATACATATTTTAAAAGAGAAAACACACATCAAAGGCTGGCCCACAGCAGTGCACATCGTGCAGGCTACCTGAGAATCCCACAGCCAGGGCCCCTTCCTGAGTAGCTGACAGAGCTCGGCCACCCACACCCACCCGGGGACACCTCAGGAGACGCGATGGCCTCAGAACTGAGG